GATTGAATCTGAGAGCTGAGTTGTGTGAAGTGAAGAGAAGACGTTTTGAATTTTGAAAATTGAAACGAACGAGCATGAACAAGAGAAGAGTGCGGGTGCGAAGAAACCACACGTGTTAACTACGCACGTGTGAATTAAAATTAAATCCGGTTCGGTACGAAGAAAATCCAATCAAACCGGATTCCTAATTTTACGACATATTGGATTTGATTGGATTTACAATACAAGATTCTTCATGAACAAGATTCTTTGAAAAGTTTACATTACAAGATTCTTCATGAACAAAAAAAAAAACATTTTTTTCTCATTTCAACGACTTTAAATTCACAACTTTGATCTCTTTCTTGGATTTTAAGCTCAAGGACTAGCCGCCTTCAATGACTTGTGAAGATGTGGATTTGCTCTTAATCTTCTTCTTCTGAGATGTTCTATTGTTATCTTGAAGAGATATTACAGTTTCAAAAGCACCAACCAATGCTTTAACTTTACTCTTCCTCACTTCTTCAAGCTTATTCACTGTCTCTTCAATCACATTATTGAAAAGTGTCTGCAATTTCTTCTTCACTTCCACTTTTCTATGCCTCAAAACAACTTTCTCTCGTTTACCTTCACCGTTAATCTTCCCAACACCTTCTCTTTTATCTTTCAGGTTCTTCTTCTTTTTGTTCACATCACTTCTGAGTTTTGGTTCTTGAACAACTCTCTTCTTGAATTTGATCGATGTTGTAGTGGAATCTTCTGGTTTTGGTTCAAGAACTTTCCCTTTCTTGAAATTCATTTGCTGTTTCGTTGGAGGAGGAGGTGGAGTAACCTTTAGACCAATCCTCTTCGGCCTAATCTTGCTTTCGGGTTTCGGATTAGTAACAAGATTTGCAGAACGACTCTGTTTCTTCTCAGACAAACCAGTCTTGGACCTGGAAATAGTCTGTCTTATTGGCCTAGGATCTGACCTCGTAACCCGTGATTCTTTAGCCACCTCCGAGGATGGGGACAAAGACGGTAATAAGCTAAGACTTTTCTTTCCGCTGCTTCTTAAGATTTTCTTCTCAGAAGATTGCTGAATCTCACTCTTAACACTTTTGATGCTCATCTTCTTCTTCATCTCAATACTAGATTCAACAACATACAATGTCTTCTCCAATGCATCATCAGATATAACTGGTTCATCAATGTTCGTCTTCTCTTTGTTCTTGAGATTCTTTAAACGTTCCTCTTTCAAATTCTTCTTCTCGCTGATCCTTGGAACCTTCTTAGCATCAAGACTTGTCTTCTCCAATGAATCATCACATCTGACCGGTTCATCAATCTTCGTCTTCTCTTTGTTCCTCAAAATATCCTTATTAGAACTCTTGTTCTCACTGATCCTTGAAACCTTCTTAACATCAAGATTTGTCGTCTCCAAAACATCATCAGTACATCTAACCAGTTCATCGATCTTCGTCTTCTCTTTATTCTTCAAATTCTTTGAAAAAAGATTCTCTTTAGGACTCTTGTTCTGGCTGATCCTTGAAACCTTAACATCAAGATCGGTCTTCTTGGCCATTCTCACAACAGCTGAAACACTTGGACAAGTACTCTTGGTTTCACTTCTTTTAACGCGTAAACCATCACAAGATTTGACAACCTCACCAGCAGCCTCTCTCTTTGCATCCAGCAATAATGACTTGTCCGGTTTAGAAACATTTCCAAACGACTTCCTCAAAGTCTCACCTTTCCCCAAATCTCCACTTTCAACATTCTTTTTCTTAACCAACTTCCATGGTTTGATCACCAAATCCTCCTCACGCCTCTTCCCATGTTTACATAGATCATGAGTTGAACTCGTTTGGTTCCCACGGTAACGGGTTTGAACCAGAGCTTTGCCTGTCTTTTTATCTGTCGAATACCGCCTCAAATTCGCATGATTGGTCTCTGCAGCTGGAAGAATTACATCATCTCCTTGAACTTCCTCATCCACTACAGGAATAGTTTCAACAGAGATCTCCATGGGGTTTGCATCATCCAAACAACACTTGTCATCGACTTGTGAAATATTCTCCTCAGACATTGCAACTTATTACAACGACAACTGCAGAAAAACACAATGTACAAAAGCATCAATTTTGGGAGCTTAAATCATTTAAACAACAACACATAATGATCCTAAACTGTTATTCTCTGATTTTGGAACCACGTTGAACATATTTGAGAATGAAAAAAGTCTTACCAATATTGAATCTTTGGTTCCACCATCAATAAATAAGCAATCACATTAACAACAACAAAAACTCGACGTTTGATCATGACTCAATTCAATAACTAAACCGATGAACAGAAACCAGAAAAAGAAAGGCAAATTTGGTTTATGATCTCAAGTTTTGATCAATACTAGAGTTATAGTAACATAGTTGATCCTTTAACAAAAAAAAGTTATAGTAACTTTGTTTTAAGAAACTACAACGAAGTCAACTGTGAGGAAAAAATGTGAGATACACATAGAAAGATGTTGTTACCTTTATAGATCATCCAACTCTTAGAGAATTATTTTACCAAAAAAAAAAACTCTTAGAGAATTGAAGCTGAAGAACAAAATACTATATAGTTTTGCCCAGAAGAGGATGAAGAGTGATTAGAGAATTTCAGAAGAAAAAGGAGAAAGTTTTAGAAGAAACACAAATGAGGTCAACAAATCTTTTAATTGAGAGAAGGAGAGGGAAGGAGAGAATCTTTTGACATTTTTTTTTTCTTCTAAAAGTTTCAGTTTTGGACTTTTATTAATACAGAGCCATATGATTTTGCAATGTACACAAAGTGAACACATTAATTAATTAGTCAAAACATGTTTAAGATCTAGTATTTTTTTTTATACAACATGAAAGGAAAATAATAACCGGACCTAGTGGCCTAATGGTAAAGGGGTCACAGCTGTGACTTCCGCCACCAGGGTTCGAGGCACGGCCACTGGCGGATTTACATGAGGGAATCGCTAGCTCCCCGGGATGTGGGGTACCCTAGGGCAGATGACGCATGTGGGTCCCACGCTAGTCGGTTCCACCTCGATGGGGCCGGACACCCGAGTTATCAAAAAAAAAAAAGGAAAATAATTGAATTTCATTTCATTTATTAAATTCAACTCAAGATTGAAAATTTATGATGGTAACAAAACAAATTCAAATTATAAAACTCATTAGTAGTCCATATAATAATCCTGTATATATTAATGATAGTAATATATTAAGATTTTAGGTTTCGACGGACCAGAGATATGGAAACAAGTCTTTTTGTATTTTTCTAAAGAATGATGCTTTCCGCGATGGACCGACTTTGGATTCTTTTGATTATATATTGCAAAAAGATAAGATCTAGATGCTGATTTCCAAAAAGAACAGAATGCTCTAAATAATTCCTAATAATTCGTGCCAATAATATTTAATTCAAGTCAATAATACTTTGTAAAATATTTAAAATAATACTTTTCGTGGTTGTTTCTAAAGCTTATACCTAAATTATATCAAAAAAAAAAAAAAAAAAAAACTTGTTATCAAATGTGCTGCAATTAGCATGAAAAATTGTGGTACCGTCGAAAAAACCTTGTTATCTAATGTGCTTATGCCATTTTAAACCAACACTATCACCATTTCAATCTAAAATTTGGAAACACCATTTTTTGAAAGCCCAATTATGAGAAAGTTCGGGCCTATATGGCATGAGGCCCAAAGTTTCAATTTCTGCATGCTGATTCTAGAAAATTGACAAAAATGTATACTTTGTGATCATCCTACATATAAAGTAGCTTACCAACAAATTCACAAAAGACTTTTCTATATTGCGTGGCCCGTAAAGCAGAAATAAGTAAGAAAGAATATTAGGATTTTCTAAGAAAATAATATAGGATATAACATTGAAAGCTAAATATTGCCTACAAAATAATTAGTACTAAAAGAAATATATTTACTATCATTACTAAAACCAAAACAAAATGTGGGAAATGATTTTTACATCTCTTAATAGTAAGATATAAAGAGAAAATAAAGGGATGTGTATCTGTATTATTATTATTATTTATTATTATATTTTTTGTTATATTAATTAGGACAGATCTGTTTCAATTGATTGCTTCTGATTCAAGTATGACACGTGGCAATACTGACTAAAATATCTTCGAGTGACAGATGCACCGATTCGAACCACCTTCCTTCCACAGTTGTTACCATTAGCAATTGTTCTTTCTGACACCACAATATTTTTTTATTTACTACCTCTTTTGCTATGTGTTTATTTTATAATCTAGGCTTAACTTTTAGTAATTTTAGTACAAAAATATAGGAAATATTTTTTTTTTTGAAAAATAAAAATATAGGAAATATTCCTTTAAGATCTAATCCAGTTTAGTAATGTTCTCTAGATATTATTGGTTATGCAATTTGTGCTTGGAAATTTTTTCAAGTGTAATAGTTGAAAGTGACTTTCTTTTGTAGATTTTGAATTTATTTGAAAAGTCTTGAAATGAAAACAAAACAACATACTTTGAAAATGACATTTTTTTGTAGGAATTGTTAACAGTATCATTGTTATAGGTTTTGAAATTTTACTAACATTGGAAATACTTCTACAAAATAATTCGTTTTTTCAGTAAAATACAATATACGAGTTTATTTCTGAATAACACAACGACTTACAAAGAACTAAGCTATAAATTCTGGTCATAAAGTAATTTGATTGTATTTAACCAAATAATTCATTTATGAGTATGTGATCATCGTGTAAGATACATACACTCAAAAAAACTTCAGTAGTAAGAGAAAGGGAAAAAGTAAAAGCTAAAAGCCAAAAGTTAATAAATTTATTTGTCCACCAATTTCGACCGATCTTACTTGTTTTCAAAGAGATGCTTTAACTGTTTTGTTTTCTTCTGTTAACCTAATCAATTAACGAGAATAAAAAGGAATTAACGAATAAAAAGTGGTAGAAAGCTCATGTTTCAAGGGAAGGTTTGATTCATCAACCAAGTTGCACCAACTTATTACCAAAACCAAAATAAATATACCAAAATTTGGAAAGAACATAAATTGGAAAGACCAAATCGAGAAAGTAATATAGAGAAGCCGACAAATTGCAAAATTTACCTAAACCCATCTTACATCACCTTCAGATTCTGATCTCAGTATCATAAAAGCTCAAGAACAATCACATAATCAGAATCTAACTTATATCAGATTTTTACAGCTACCCTTTTGCTTCAGAGTCTGATTATTCTCCATTGAAGCTGGATTTTGTAAGGTCAGTTCTTGCTTCTTTATCTCAATCTGATGATTCCATATCGAAAGTTTTTGTTTTTCACTTTCAATTTCCATGGATTCGAGCTCGATCTCCAAATACCACATGTTTCTGGTTTTTTTTTTTTTTTTAATCCATATATTAATTAAAAACTCTTAAGAGGTTTAATTATGATGATTACTTGAGAATTTCAATCGGTTGCCATCGTCATCTTTTTGACTCCTGTCCATTTTTAGTTTTTCCTCTGTTTAGTTTCTCAAATTCCATTTTATTTTCATTTGTAATTGTATATTAACCAATTCATCACCCGCAAGCATGTGTCTCTGTAATCACTTCCGTGTTCTGGTAATTTCAGAGGTTTAAGGCTCTCCTTTTTTCTGATGTTGTCAGCAAAAGTTAGTTTTTTTTTTCTTGTTTAATGGGTTAATTACACCTAACTCTATGGTTATAATCATAAACAATCCAGAAAAAAAAAAGTTTATTCCTTCCTCTATGTGTTTTTTTCACATGTTGTTCTGACAAATTGCAGAGGTGTGAGTTCTGTTTTACACTTTCCTTCTTCTTGATGTTTTTCTTTTTGTCTTAAGAAAGTTCAGTTTTATTTAACTGCAGGAAAGTTAGAAGCAGAAGTTGAGAGCTTTTTGGATAGTGAAGCTCAAAAACAAAACAATGGGCTTCAAACTTTGCTTCTTTGTCTTCTTGGGTTGTCTTCTTCTTGTTCCAGAGACAACAATGGCTCAAGAAACGAAACGTGCATCGATCGTTGTGGAAGGAGCCCGTCGAGTCTGTGAGACCGACGAGAACTTTGTCTGTGCCACATTGGACTGGTGGCCTCATGACAAGTGCAACTATGACCAATGTCCTTGGGGTTACTCTTCAGTTATCAATATGGTAATAGCTGAATTAGAGACAAGGATTCACCTTTCGGTCTCTTTTAATGTCCCTGATTGAGATTGTTTTTTTTTTTTTTATCTTCCCAATGTTTTTCAGGATTTAACTCGTCCCCTTCTTACTAAAGCTATTCAAGGTTTGCACATTGCATACGAAAAATGTTCATGTCATTGCTTTGTGTGTTCTTGATTTCTGTAACTTTTAGGGATTTGGATTTTTGTATTTGCTTAGCTTTCAAGCCATTGAGGATAAGAATTGGTGGTTCCTTGCAAGATCAAGTAACGTACGACGTAGGAAATCTCAAAACTCCTTGCCGTCCATTCCAAAAAATGAACAGCGGTTTGTTTGGATTCTCTAAAGGATGCTTGCACATGAAGCGATGGGACGAGCTCAACAGTTTCCTAACCGCAACCGGGTAAGCCTTCAGTTTCGGTCATTAACATTCACATTTTCCTCTTTAGAAGAATCTTGAATTAGCTGTGTTTACTTGTTTTTATCGCGCAGAGCGGTAGTGACATTCGGTTTAAACGCTTTGCGTGGGAGACACAAACTCCGCGGAAAGGCGTGGGGTGGGGCCTGGGATCACATAAACACTCAAGATTTCATAAACTATACAGTCTCAAAGGGTTACGTTATTGATTCTTGGGAATTCGGTAACAACAAACATTTTACGAGTCGCCTTCTTTTACTCGGGTTTTTTCTTCTTAGGTTTCCTTGTTCTCGGTATAGGAAACGAGCTGAGTGGAAGCGGGGTTGGTGCAAGCGTGAGCGCAGAGCTTTACGGGAAAGACTTGATTGTACTGAAAGATGTAATCAACAAAGTGTATAAAAATTCTCGGTTACACAAGCCTATACTTGTCGCTCCTGGAGGGTTCTATGAACAACAATGGTACACCAAACTTCTTCAGATCTCCGGTCCTGGTGTTGTCGACGTCGTGACTCATCATATATACAATCTTGGTTCAGGTCTGGTTTTGTAGAAGAGAATCACATAAACTCAAAACCATTACTTAGATCATTTCTGAGGATTCTCTGTTTGAGTCTTGCAGGTAATGATCCTGCGCTTGTGAAGAAGATAATGGATCCGAGTTACTTAAGCCAGGTATCAAAAACGTTCAAGGACGTGAATCAGACGATTCAAGAACATGGACGGTGGGCTTCTCCTTGGGTTGGAGAGTCTGGCGGAGCTTACAATAGTGGTGGCCGTCATGTTTCTGATACATTCATAGATAGCTTCTGGTAAAACAAAACAATACAGAAAATCGATTTTGGATTTCTTGATTTTGGCCCCTGGTTTCTATCACCGAATGAACTAAAAGAGGCCTCTTTGGATCCAATCTTTCTTAAGGTATCTAGATCAGCTTGGAATGTCGGCGAGACACAACACTAAAGTTTACTGCAGACAGACTTTGGTTGGAGGGTTTTACGGCTTGCTCGAAAAGGGAACGTTTGTTCCAAATCCTGATTATTATAGGTGAGAGTCCCAAACAAAATCCGGACTGAGTTTTAGGTTATGGTTGATTGATCGTCAAGTTTTATCTGATTTTCCGCCAATCTTTTCTTATCTTGGTCGGGTTTCGGGACAGTGCGCTGCTTTGGCATCGTTTAATGGGAAAAGGGGTTCTTGCGGTTCAAACAGATGGACCGCCGCAGCTACGAGTTTATGCACATTGTTCAAAAGGAAGAGTGAGTGACTCAACTCATTTTTTAAATCTCATTTTCCAAATGTCTCTTTTCAGTTAGAGTTTGCTTGAAATGCTTTGGTTTTCCTTGGTTTTTAGGCCGGTGTGACATTGCTTCTGATAAATCTAAGCAATCAATCGGATTTTACGGTTAGTGTCAGCAATGGCATAAAGGTTGTTTTGAATGCGGAATCGAGGAAGAAGAAGTCATTGTTGGATACTTTAAAGAGACCATTTTCTTGGATTGGAAGCAAAGCTTCGGATGGATATTTGAACAGAGAAGAGTATCATCTGAAACCAGAAAACGGTGAGTTGCAGAGCAAAACAATGATCTTGAATGGTAAATCGTTAAAACCGATGGCAACAGGAGATATCCCGAGCCTTGAACCGGTCCTCCGTGGTGTGAACTCTCCACTTAACGTCTTGCCATTGTCGATGTCGTTCATTGTGTTGCCTAATTTTGATGCTTCTGCTTGTTCATGATGTTAATGGAGTCTCTCTTTGCTCATTGGAAAAAAATAAAAATAAAGAAAAGATGTAATTTTTTTGGTAATTGTATCTAAATGCTGGTGATAAATGTATCATTTAATATTTCAATACAACATGATTAGAAAAAACCTTTGTTTTGTGTTTTCTTCAATTTATGAGCAAACGGCATCAAAACCGGATAGTCCATATTCAAACCAAAAGCGAGATAAAAAAACAGGTGATGGTTTACATCTCAAACCAATCAACCAAATTAACGGTTCAAGATATCACACAGAGTGTTTGAGACAGCACGAGCTACTGCAAGAAACATGAATCAATTCTCAGAACTGCAAGAAGTGTCTCCACAAGATGAAGAAGAAGTCTCTCCACTGAGTTTCTTCCTCTCCTCATAAGCCCATTCCAAGCCGAGACAGTACTGAACTGGCGGGTTGAATCTACAGTCGGTTATATCATCGGGTAAGAAAGCTCCGTTCTCCACAAGAAACTTGACAGCTTCTCTCTTCCGTTCTTTAGCTGCAGCATGGAGAGGAGTCCAGCCACAAGCACCCGAGGTTCTAGCTTCAATATTGGCTCCACGTTCAAGAAGCAAGTCCATGACTTCAATGTGACCTCCTTTGGCTGCAAGGTGAAGAGGAGTCATTCCTTTTGATTTGGGTCCACATGCTAAAGCGTTTACGTCTGCTCCTTGGTCAAGGAGCTCTTTAACAGCTTTGAGATCGCCTTTACAAGCTTTGATGTGGAGCTGAGTCCAGCCCCTGTCGTCTCTGTCAACACCCGTTTTCATGGACCGGCGCCTAAATGAGTTACGCCGGAAGGACAATGCAACTGGCTGCTCTTGGAGCATATTCCAGATAAACCAAAACTGACTCGAATACACAGATAGAAAGACTCAAAGGAGAATACCTAAGGAAAACTTACTAGACAGGGAGATTCGTAGGTGTGACTCAGATTTACATAATATTGGTTACAATCTTACCGAAGAATGTCTAAAGCAGGTACACTACTTATGGCTAGAAATCATCAACCAATGTCAACAGAAGAAGAATTTATGGAAGAAGCAGAATCTAGATGATTCAGTTGAAATGAAGCAACTAAAATCAAGGGGAGTGATTAGAAATGCAGTAAGGGAAAGAGGGATTCAAACCAGGGCCAAAGACACGGAGATTTTGAGGGATCACAATTGGAGTCATAGACAGTGAAGAGAAAACAAGCATCAACTTGAAAAGAATAGGAGCTTAATGGTTTCTCGGAACTAAGAGAAATCAGAAAAAGCCTGGATCAATGGGTAAAGAGATCAGAGACAGCATCGAGCCAGAGTCAAAACACACACACACACACTCTCTCTCAGCTTGATTTTACCAGATCTGCCAACAAGACAAGGATAAGAAAAAAATTTAATAAATCTCTCTGCAAGATCGCCTGAAATATTTTCAGAAATCAAAATTTAGTTCAGGTAACGAACAATAACAAATTCTGCAACAAGAACCAGTATTTAGTTGAAGAAAAAAAAAAGAACCAGTATTTAGAATCGCTCTAGAGAATTCTCAGATAATGGAAAATTTTAAAACTCTGGCAAATTCTCAGTAAACTAAGAGCAATCCCAAAATAAGCTGAAAATCAAAATCACCCAAAATACTAAAGCAGCAAAAAAAATAAGATGATAAAAGCTCGCTGATGAATCCAAACAACATAAAGACCAACTCAATTTTTCACAGCAAGACGACGACAACTTAATCGAATTGAATCGGCGAAAGATAGAAGAAACCTGTAGCTTACCGCGGAGGAGAGAACAAAGAGAGACGGTGAGTCAGAGATTTCTTCTTAGACGGAGAATATGAATCGGATTAGGGTTTTTCGCGGGTAGAGAGAGTAATCGTATTTCGTCGATTTCCAGATGAAGAAGGAGAAAGGCGCGTGTGTGTGTGTCAGAGATATCGGTTTTTTGTTTGTTAGTTTAAAATCGAATATGCCACCTCATATAGCTTAATTAATCGAGGCTTTTTACAGTTGGGCCTACAATAAAGGCCTAAATTTGGCCCAGATAGATTTAACTTGTATATTTTTATTAAGTAAGTGAAATAAACTAAAATTAGTCTATTATCAACTAATTTAATTACAAAGAGATTTTTTTTTTTTTTTGGCAGTATTTGATTAGATTTAAAGTGTATATGGAATTAATTAATGTTGGCAGATAATTGGATTAGTAAGAATAGAATAAAATCTATATATTTATCCACATTATTAAAAGACATCCTAGAAAATGAAATAGTACAATGTATTTCACATCATTTTGCAATATTACCTTAAATAAACATGCTAGTATTATTTATAAATGCTAAAAACTACAACCAACCCATAAATCATGAAATTATATAAGAACCTCATGATTGATGCTATAGGAGTAATTTTACTAAGAAGAAAATCAAGAAACAGAATCAAAGTAGAGACACTCTTGTTCTTTCTTTTTTTTCTTTTTTTTTCACTCTTGTTCTTCAAATGGATTCTCCTTCATCGGAAGTAAAAATCGTTTCTCAATGCTTTGTTAAACCCAAAACCATCCCCGAAAAATGGAAAGAGCCATACCATTTATCACCCTTGGATCTTGTGATGCTCTCTATGCATTATCTCCAAAATGGTCTTCTCTTTCTCAAACCATCTATGATATCTGAATCTGATGATGCAATCAAAACAAAAGATTTCATGGAGACTTTGCTACAAAAGCTTAGAGATTCTCTAGCTGAAACCCTTGTCCATTTTTATCCGCTTGCGGGTCGTCTCTCCACTTTAAAAACCGACAATCCGAGATCCTACTCGGTGTTTGTGGATTGTAATGACAGTCCCGGGGCTGGATTTATCCGTGCTAAATCGGATCTAAGTGTAAGAGATATTGTTGAGTCCAAATATGTTCCTTTGGTTGTTCAATCTTTCTTTGACCACCATAAAGCCGTGAGCCATGATGGTCACACCATGAGTCTCTTCTCAGTCAAGGTACATTAGTTTATTCTTGTATACAAACCTCAAAATCATATAATTCACTTAGTCGAAAAACAAAAATTTGTAGATCGATGTAATCTTAATTGTATATATCACGCAATTATGCAAATATGAATTAGACTAACTAAGGTGATGAATCTTTTCAGGTAACAGAATTGGTAGATGGAGTGTTCATAGGATTGTCATTGAATCACGCTGTGGGAGATGGAGGTACATTATGGCATTTTTTCAACTCTTTGTCGGAGATTTTCAATGCACACGAAACCGATAACTTGCTTCTCAAGAATCCTCCAGTCCTTTCACGTTGGTTCCCTAAAGGGTACGGTCCTGTTTACAGCCTTCCTTTCACTCACTCTGATGAATTCATTAGCCGATTCGAATCACCGGTCTTGAAGGAGAGAATATTCCATTTCTCATCTGAAACAATAACATCATTGAAATCAAAGGCTAATCAAGAATGCAGAACAACAACTATTTCTTCTTTTCAAGCGTTAACTGCATTTATATGGAGATGTATCACAAGAGCAAGAAAATTACCTTATGATCATGAAATTCGTTGTAGCCTTGCCGCTAACAATGGAACAAAATTGGATCCACCATTGCCTTTGAGCTATTTTGGTAATTGTATTTCTGCTATAAAGTCGAAGACCGTTACATCCAGTGAACTACTAGAAAATGATTTGGGATGGGCTGCTTTGAAAATGCATAAAGCTGTGATTGGAAACACTAGTGAAGAGGTCTCGGCGACAATCGAAAATTGGATGAAATCATCTTATGTTTTCCATTTAGAAAAGCTTTTGGGAGCAATGGTGGTTCACATTGGAAGCTCGCCGAGGTTTAAGATGTATGAATGCGAGTTTGGGATGGGAAAAGCGGTTGCGGTTAGAAGCGGTTATGGGGGTAAGTTTGATGGGAAAATATCAGCTTATGCAGGAAGAGAAGGAGGAGGAAGCATAGATTTGGAAGTATGTCTACTTCCAGAGTTTATGGAAGCTTTGGAATCAGATCAAGAGTTTATGTCTCGTGCATCTTCTTCTTCTTGATCTTCGTGATTTTATTCATATATGCTCTCATCATATCTCTAGATAAAGTTTGGTTTGTTGTGGATTGAGTATATGTGTTGCTGTTAAAATCCAATTCAATATTATGTGACAATGTGTTATTCAACTGATAATGATTCATATTTATTAAAAATTAATTACAAACTAAAATGTGAGGTTTAGAGACGATAATAGACAAATTCATCTGCTCCCAAACACACCCTCAATTCACCTACTCTCTGAACCTTTTGCTTGCTTCTTCTTCAAACCCTCTCTGTTTAGTGGTACTAGTTAAAATCATGCATGTGTTATTTATTTGATTAAAGATTAATACAAAAACTAATGTTATTCAATTATAACAAAGATCATATACAAGATGACATCATTGATGATGACCAGCAGATCAAATTATGCATGAACATATGATGACATCATTGATGATGATAGCTATCTATATAATCATATGATTATTCATATAAAGAGAGTATAAACGAAAGTAGGAAGATAAAAGAAGATTGCAAAGAAACATTGAAAGAAACAAAAGAAGCATATTATACACTTTTTTTTTTTCTCTGTCTTTTTTTCTTGAAAACATGGATTCTTCTTCATCAGAAGTAAAGATTATCTCTAAATGCTTCGTCAAACCCAAAACTCTCCCTGAAAAATGGAAAGAGCCTTACCATTTTTCACCATTGGATCATGTGATGCTCTCAATCCATTACATCCAAAAAGGTCTTCTTTTTCTCAAACCATCATTTTGTGAATCTGACAATGTAGTCAACCCAAAAGAGTTCATTGAGACTTTGCTGGAGAAGCTTAAAGACTCTCTAGCCATAGCACTTGTCCATTTCTACCCGCTTGCAGGTCGTCTCTCTACTTTGAAATCCAACGACTCAAGATCTCACTCAGTGTTGGTGGATTGTAATAACAGTCCTGGTGCTGGATTTATCCATGCTGAGTCAGATCTAAGTGTGTCAGACATTCTTGGGTCCAAATATGTTCCTTTGGTTGTTCAATCTTTCTTTGATCATCACAAAGTATTGAATCGTGATGGTGACACCATGAGTCTCCTATCAGTCAAGGTACATTTCTTCATTCTTGTATATAGATAGGTGTGTGAGTTAGAGAAAAAAGAAAAAATTGAATCTTTTTCTGGTTGTACAGGTAACAGAATTGGTTGATGGAGTGTTCATAGGATTGTCTATGAATCATTCTCTTGGAGATGGAAGTTCCTTCTGGCAGTTCTTCAACTCTTTGTCTGAAATCTTCAATTCACAAGAAGAAACCATTGGTAATGCATTGCTCTGTCTCAAGAATCCTCCAATCTTTCGTGAAGTGTCTGGTCCTATTTACAGCCTTCCCTTCAGTGAACCTGATGAGTCCCTTAGTCAATCAGAACCTCCGGTTTTGAAGGAGAGGATGTTCCATTTCTCATCAGAAACAGTGAGATCACTGAAGTCAAAGGCGAATCAAGAATGCGGAACAACAAAGATCTCTTTGCTTCAGTCCTTAACCGCATTTATATGGAGAAGCATTACAAGAGCAAGAAAACTACCAAATGATCAAGAAACTACTTGCAGGCTTGCTGCTGGCAATAGATCAAGAATGAACCCACCATTGCCAAAGAATCACTTTGGGGTTTACGTCTCTCTTGTGAAAGCAACTACGATAATTGGTAATCTACTGGAGAATGAGTTTGAATGGGCTGCTTTGAAACTGCATCAAGCTGTAACCGAACACACGGGTGAAAAGATCTCTTACGAAGTAGATCAATGGTTGAAGTCTCCTTTACCTTTGCAAGTATATCGACTTTCCAATTTGAACATTGTTCATATGGGAAGCTCTCCGAGGTTTAACAAGTACGGATGCGAGTTTGGGATGGGGAAAGCGGTGGCGGTTAGAAGCGGTTATGGTGGTAAGTATGACGGGAAGGTATCAGCTTATCCAGGAAGAGAAGGAGGAGCAAGCATAGATTTGGAAGTATGTCTACTTCCAGAGTCTATGGAAGCTTTGGAATCAGATCAAGAGTTCATATCTCTTGTCTCTTCTTCTACCTGATCCTATTCATATTTTCCAGACACAAAAACTCAAGTTATTTCATTATTTCATACTGAAGCTTTGGAATCAAATGTTTTAACTACTACTGTCTTTGCTTGTTACAGTATTCTGCAGTTGTTAAATGTTTCAACTTCATTAATATCAGAACTAAAATATTGAAATCTATGTTTGACTTTAAGCAACTAATTCATCAGAAGAATGGAGAAGCTGACAAGCTTGGTTATGAGCAGAGTTCTGGCTACTTTTACTTCCGGAGTAAACGGCCAGCCCGTTGGTTCGATTGCTTTACTCTGTAGTTAAGCTCATCAACATCGTCTTGAAGATGATCTAGTCCATGGTTTTCACTGCGATTTCCATTTACAAACAAATTTTATCAAGGAAGAAACGAGAAAGCTCTTAGAGAATGGATATAGAGAGAGAGAGAGACTTGATAGAAAACCTTTCGATTGCTGTTCCCATGTCCACTGCCATATTTTTCAGCTCGCCAAGAAGATCGCTTAAGTTGGAAAGGACTTCATCTTGCTTTGCAATCTCCATCTGTTAACACAGCATGATATTTAGAATCTTGGTTAACAAAAAAAGGAACGACTTTTGAAGCCCCACAAGGAAAAAACGAGAGAATCCGAACCTGTGTTTTCTGATAAGCATCAACGGATTCAGCAAGTGTTCTTGATTTTGGTTTGAGTGAATGGTTCAGTCCCAGATTTTCCCTAGTCTTTAAGTTGATAACTCTTCTCTTAGGGGAATCACCTGCTCAGGAAATCATGAATAGTTAGATAAAGTAATAAGCAAAAGACAGATTCCTTAGAAGTGATCATCAACTAAAGAAGAATAAACCTCTAGTTCTGACAGGACCAGTTATGGAACGAGTCTTCTTTGGCTTCCAAGTCCTTGAAAAAATGCCTCCAAGGCGTCCAAGAAGCTTCTCACCCTGAAACCAAACACAAAAACATACAATAAGGATCATCCCCAGAAAGAGATTGCAAAACTCCTCTCTTCTCGTATCTCACTCACCCGACTAAGATGATGATCGATATCAACCGCCTTATGGTGTGTTCTAGTAATTTGATCTCCTTGGTCATTCAACATAACCAAAGTTTTAGTAGCATCACATCTAATCTCTTCAGCAACTTTCAAACACCCTTTTACGGTTTTGGTTGTTTCCTCAGACTCGTACACAGCGTAGCTCTCAAGTTCTTGAACCGTCTGGTGGTTCTCCTTTGCATCCGAGAACTTCAACGATGAAGTGAATGTTTTCTCAACCTCCTTATCATCATCATCATCATCATCAAAAGGGTTCAAACTGAAATTCTTAGCAGCCTCCTCCTTCTCATCATCAGTATCATCAAAAGGGTTCAAGCTGAAATTCTTAGCAGCCATAGAAGGTTCAGGGGAAAACAACTTCTCCTACAGAAATCCAAAACTAAGATTGCTATTGATTCTTTTATTCAAAATTTACCAGAAGATTACTGGACTTTAAAGTTGAACAAAAGCAAGAAAAGGATACACAAGTTTTTTCACTGCAATCTCTTTTGATTAACGATCGTTTCGTAAGATCTAAGTTTCCAACAATCAAGTTAACCTAAATCGACTTGGAAGATTATCAGAAGAAGAAGAAAAACCGAATTTGTACCTGGAAATTGCAGAGAATAAGACGAAGAAGAAGCAGGATTCAGAGGTTCCGAGAAAGAAAGGTTGATAGCAAGAAGAGGCCTTTAACGAGTTCAAATTTTCGAATCCGTTATAGAGGAGGAAACTGGTGAGAAACTTTGGCAAAAACAATTGTTGAAAAAGAGTTTTGTTTTGTTTCTTCACCCTTATATATATTTATTTACCTTTCTCGTATTAGTGAATTAATACAATAAAATCTAACAAGAGTAATTATTTTTGTTTTCTTTAGATAAAGATATAAAGTACAGGTGGCGTTAAAGAAAAAAAAAAGAGATAATAGTAGATTTAAAACTTATGGTGATAGGATAGGTGCACAATTAATTACAGTTGCATAATTGTCAATTTGTCATAACTTTTTTTTTTTTGGTTCAACAGTTGTAATAATTATTATTTACCAAAATGTATACGTATTTTATCAATGCAATGCAACTTGATAAGAAAAATATGTGAAATTTTGACTTAAATTTCTTTTTACTTAATAAAGAGCAAAAGAACATAAATTATGGGAAAAATGGAAGGATATTTTATTTAACTATTTATTATCTTTTTTTAGATCAATTTTCAAATTTCTGTAGAGTCGATATTTAGAGACTTGTAAGACAAACCAATAACACCTTGGAACGACTTTATTTCTATGTTCCAAGCAATTATGTACACTCAAAAGAAAGAAAACATCAATCTCTAAAGCTATATGCTTTACCCAAACCTCTTTTGATTGTGTCTCCAAACCTCTTCCAAGCCTCTGGATCTTCTGACCACCCTACGATATGATGTGTATACAAATCACCACCCAAACGTACAATCCATCTTTCAATCACTCGAGCAGCTGCTACACGCACTTTCAATAAATTCCATGGATGAGACTCAGAAATATGAAGATAGGTGAATCGGGTAAAGCTCAAGACTTTTTTCATAACCCAGTAAGAGGCAGCATTTCAGTGGAAGAGGGCTTTTTTATCTCTCTCTTGATCTTCCCAACAGAGTAAAGAAAAGAACGATTAAATTCCATTTTCGCATACTCAGACCAAAAAAAACAAGGAAGCATTACATAAGTAGTACCTGTGCTTCTAGCTCGGCTATTCTCTGTAATGATGCTTGTTCTATGCACACACGGCGATTGCGTTCCTCATCAAGCAAACATGTCATCTTATACCTTAATTCAGCCATTTCTTGTGTAAGGTCTTCTGCTTCTTCCTTCGCCTTCAGTTTCTCCTGTTTCAGTTCTTCCTGCACATACCAACAACCGCAGGTAAAACTAGTTGGACTACGATCTTTTCTGTAATGGTAATAAAGGAAGGAAATAGAGTTCTTCAGTTTTTCAAAACTACCTTGAGTTGCTTTACAACATCTTCGTGCTGATGTATCTGTTTCGCCATACCCTCCACTTTGTCAGTCAAATTCACATTCTGAGAAAGTTCTAGTTTCTTCATGATTGCATCAAAACAATTGCTGTGAGACACAAAACCAACATTATTAGGGACAGGGATAGCTCAATTTGATGACTAAATAAATAAGTCTCAAGCTAGAACTTACCGAACTTCATTAGACATTGGAAGCACATGGCTCAGTTCAGCAAAGAAGCACCCTACAGTTAGAGGCTCTTCATCTTCACTTTCTAACCGTTCTTTAGTACTTTGAAAGAACTCTTTGATACTCTTTTCAGAGGCATTAAATTTCTCCCTCAGCTCTTCATTTTGCTTTTCGATATACTTGACATTCTCTTGTGCCCTTTGAGACTGAAACTGGGACTCTTCGATTATTCCTTTTAATTGATGTTTTTCTTGGATGCTTTCTTCTTGGATTTTCATTGCATCAAAGAGTGCTTGCTCCAACGCTGTTATATCAATCTTCATGCTTTCTATTTCGCACAAGGACTCTAATGTTAAGGATGAGATGGTCTCCTCCAGTTTCTCCAAGGAAAGAGATGAACACTGTAGCTCTATTTCTTTGCTCTCGAGTTCTTGCAACAACAACAAATGCTCGGATTTCGACATACACAACTCATCTCTTAAAGAGTTAACTTCTTCTTCCAGATTCCTTGATTCAGCCAATTTGAATTCAAGATCGTGCAGATGTTCATTGAGATAATTCACTTCCTTGCTTCTGAAAATTAGTTGATCTCGCAAGTAATCTACAAAGTAAAGGTTAATATATGCTGAGACTTATTATTAGTTCAGAAAAATCAAAACGATTAGCTTATATAGACATTACCAATTTCCTTATAGCAATTCAATAATTCTTTCTCCATCATCTGAATTCGTGCTGTGTCTTCTAAGCGAGATTCCGATAATGACTTCGTGTGGAGTTCCAACCTCTGTGGTAAAGAGAAGATTAATGTCCGAAAATTCAACCAATAGAAGTGAGAAAATACTTTAAAGAAGGAGAAGAAGACTACTCTGACTAGTTCGATACTATGGGGCTGCGATTCTCTCAACATGTCCTTTTGTTTCCTTAGCTGCTAATAACAAATCAAAGAGCACAAAACAAAACAGAAATCAACTTCATCAATCTAAGAATCAGAAACCGCATTATAATGATCATCCCAGTCCAACTTTCATCAACATGAGTATATAACAGTCAATGAAGTGTTTACCTCCCTGCGTGTTGTCCCAATCTGCAAAAGTTCTTCAACATCAAACGAGTTCTCGCAATCACTTCTGGAACTACATGCCGAGCTACTGCTTCCCGAGAAACTTCCCGAGCTACTCGACATTTAAATACAAAAATCACCACTGCAAAGGCAATGAATCATTTAGTAACAAGAACTAGAATCAGTTTCTACAACTAACTCACACGAATACAAGTGTTGTCATGGCCGAAATCAAATCAGACTTTCGTTAAGCTTATCATTCCACAGAAATCAAATTAGGCTATTAAACACTTCATCAACTAATTGATAATCTAGAGAAACGTCAACTTCACAAGTCCAATTAGTCGCTAAACTAGATGAAGGCCTTGATGCTTCTACTCGATTCCTTTGAAGTAATTGGGGAAAACAAAACTATACATACCACTAGATAGCGAATTTCAACAACGACGGATACAATTGAACCCAGAGAGGAAAAAAATTGATAAGCGTACACACGAATACAACCGCAGGAAACGTTTTACCTTCGCAGCTCAATTTCTCTCTGAGATAATTCCGACGGCGAATTTGATCGGAGAAATGATTTTTGAATTTGCTTATCCTCCAAATTCTTTTTTTTTGTCTCTCGGTTTCTTCGAAACGATGCCAGACCAGATAAGTAAAAAATGACTCACAAAAACCGGTCAATTCCGGTCGGGTCGGGTCGGGTCGGGTGGGTGGGTGGGCATAAAATTCTCAAAACCAGTAATCGATCGTTTCGGATGAGCAATAATCTAGTAATGGCGGTCGCAGTACCTCAAGCCACTTCTCTTACGAGGCTCTTCTTCCTCACGAAACCAATCCCTGGAGGAGGCTTCACTTCTTTACTACCTAAAAATCATCGGAAACCCATCTTCGTATTCTCTGTCCAGACTCAATTTTCTTCTCCAGTAACCACACTCACCTCCAAACACCCTAAAGATGAGCAACAGCAAAAACTCTCCTTCACCATCAACTACCTTATCGACTCCTGTGGATTATCTCCAGATTCCGCCACCGTAGCCGCTCGTAAGCTCTTACTAGATTCACCAGAACGACCCAACACTGTTCTAAACCTTCTTCGTGACCATGGATTCACCACTGCTCAAATCTCAACTCTCGTCAAGAAACGTCCCGTTCTCTTGTTAGCCAATGCTGAATCAGTCCTCCTCCCGAAACTCCTATTCTTTCTCTCAATTGGCGTATCAAAATCATTACTTGCTCGAACCTTAGCTTCTGATCCAACCATTTTGACTAGATCCCTTGTTAATCAGCTTATCCCTTCTTACAAATTTCTCAAAAGTGTTCTTGATTCAGACGAGAAGATCGTGGCGGCGTTGCGGCGGACGACTTGGGTTTTCCTTGAGGATCACACCAAGAATCTTGTACCAAACATCAACTACATGTCGGAGACTGGTGTTCCTGAGAAATGTATCAAGCTGCTTCTTACGCATTTTCCTGAAGCTGTGATGCAGAAGAGCCATGAGTTCCAAGCAATCGCTAAGCAAGCTCAAGAGATGGGATTCAATCCTCAAAAATCAACCTTTGTGTTGGCGATTCACGCGTTATCTGGGAAAGGAAACAAATCGATATGGGACAAATGCTTTGAGGTCTACCAGAGATGGGGTTGGTCGGAAGATGATATCATGTGTGCGTTCAAGAAGCACCCTCACTGTATGATGTTGTCTGAGAGGAAAATTAACAGAACGATGGAGTTTTTTGTGAATGAGATGAATTTGGCGCCTAGATCGATCGCAGAGTGTCCAGTGGTGCTCTTCTTCAGTCTGGAGAAGAGGATTATCCCAAGGTGTTCGGTTACTAAAGTTTTGGTATCGAATGGGCTTGTGAAGGAGGATTGGAGCTTGACGTCATTGTTGGTTCCAGTGGAGAAAGTGTTTTTGGAGAAGCTCGTGATCAAGTACGAAGAAGAGTTGCCTGAGTTGATGGATGTGTATCTAGGATGCACCAAACTCTGAGCTTTTGTTTTCGACTGTTTTCATTATCAAATTTCAGATGCTGAGTGACATGAATCTTTTGAAAAGAGTGTAGTGTGTAACCCAATTTTGGTAGTGAAAGGAAAGCTGATTAGCAAGCCCAAAGTGTGTTTTTACGACACATGCAGTAGAATCGTCACTTCAATATAAGAGCAAAAGGCAAGAATCGGTTTGCCTATATGTTTTGTATACACACACGTAAAGATACATATACAGACACATACACGCCTTGATATAGTATATATACGTACATGCGTGGATGTGTATGTGTTCATAAGAATTGGCAGAGTCACAGATGACAGAGATTCTAAATCTTGCAGAAGAGAGAAGGAGAGAGAGAGAGAGTTTTACAACAATATTTCTTACACGAAACGATGATCCTCATTCACCAATCCGACCTGCCAAAAACGAAAAATTTTATTCAGCGAGGAATAATAGATAAGAGACTAATACCAAATCTATCTGATCTCTAGTCGGAATGAACTTACAAAGTAAGGGGATATGAAGACAGTTCTCATTTATCAACGCCTACATCAAGTCCTTTAGAGCCCATCATCACATTCGAATCGATTTGCTTATCAAATTTCTTCTTTCTCCTCTCTTCAAATTCTTGGTATCCTTCCATCTATCCATTTATATAACGGAATGTTACACAAGACCCAATTCGAACAAACAACCTAAAAAGTGTTTTTTGAGGTTGTCGATTATTGACTTACCAGCTGAAACTGATCCATGGAAATAGGATTGTTATGCAAAGAAAGATTTTGCAGACTCTTGCAATGTATCAGCAATCCATCTGGAATCTGGAAAACAATATGTGTTACAGAATTCAAAGGAAGAAGATATAGAGATTCAATAAACCAAAAAAAAAGTTTTAAGGCATGAAGAAACAAATCACATTTCAATCTGTTTACCTGGTTCACTTGATTATTGTCTAAGCAAAGCGACTTTAACTGAATCAGATTGCAGAGTGATGCAGGAAGCTCTTCAACAACGTTATCTGCAAGGCTATCCCGAATCACGATTAAGCTTTGGAGAAGAAACCACCAGAGGAAACTCCACAACAAAATGTCAATAAAAAAAACATAACACTTATTTCCTAAAGATTTTTTAGGTTTCTGAATCTCCAAACAAACATGGGGGCTTAAAAGAAACAGAATCTAGAAAGCGAAACTAGAAACATACCATTAGCCTGTATTTCTTCTAAAGAAGCACAGCTCCCTACTGATTCTGGAAGGGATTTCAATCTGTTATTTGAGACATTCAACAGCACTAGCTGCAATTAAACACAAGAAAACTAATTAGTTTTTTCAGGCCGAACATTGAATTATTCTTTGGTAAATGAAGTCACTTACATTGCGGAGACTACCAATAGTATCAGGCAAGTATATGAGCATATTTCTTGAGATTGATAGTTGCTCAAGCCTTACCAACTGACCCACTGGAAAACAAAAAAACAAAAAAAGAACATATGAATGCGAACCATAATAAAGACACAAGCTGTTTTAAAATGGACAAAACAGTGTACTTGTATCAAAGAGAATCTTACATTCATCAGGCAAACAGCTGATGCGGTTTCCATCAAGCATCAAAACTTTGAGAGATTGAAGTTTCCCTAGATTCCCTGGAAGGCGCTCAACTAGATTATCAGCTATTAACTGCCAAAATTTTCAGAAAGATGGGAAAGAGTCAAAATCCACAGAAAGCACCAACTAGCATTCAGTTCGCAAGATATGATGAAATCTGCGGATAATGTACACGGAGAGGCAAAGTTTTCTCACCAGACGCTGCATATTGATTAACTTGCTGATTTCTCCAGGAACATCAGCTGCATAAATGTTCAAATACAAAGTCCATCAACTATTATTACTCTTAACACGGCGATGAAGAAAGAAATCGAAATGAGGCAGAAGGCATACCAATCTTATTGTGTGTTAGATCAAGTGTTCGCACTGCTCTCTCCATTTCAATCACTTCATCAGGAAATGTCTACTCAACAAAACAAAACCAAAAACAGGAATTCACCAAACAATAGATAATCAGCCAATCCAGACTCAAAAAAAATCCCCAAACAAAACCCTAATCAATAGATTCTTATGCCTGCATTCATGAACCCAATCAACAAAGTTTGGTGCTCTTTTATCTAATCAAACTCTCTCAAATCATTCATATCTTTGGCTCTCAGCACACATAGAATAAACATCTCTACAAATTCCTATGACAGATAGAAACAAGTTTATCTATAAAATTTCCAAAGATTTATTCATAGTAAAAAAAAAGATATGTGGAAACAATTTGACCTTCAATTTGGAGTCGCGGAGACCAACAATGCCCGTAGATCGCCACCGAGAGATCCGATTAGCCTTTGGACCACCAGCTGTATTGCTCGCGCAACACCCCATTTCTGTGTTTCCGATTCTTCGCCGATCGTCGCAGTTGATTTTGATGAGATGAATTAGATATAAATAATAGAATAAATCTCAGAGACCCAGAGAAAGTTTCAAAGTAATCAATCTGATTGCCAAAAGAGATGGCTTTTTGGGCCAATTTTTTTACGAATTTTGGTTTCGAGGTTTATAGGTGAGGGTCAAGGTCTCTCTCTCGCGGGTTATATAGAATTAGAAAGAAAGCCAAATTCGTCCCCAAAAAGAAAAAATATACTATATAATTTGGAAAGTAAAAACCCTAAAATTGATATAAGTGCTTCGCTTTTGGAAACTCGAAGATCGGTAAAAACTTTCATCGATCCTCGACTCGTTTCAAGCCCCAAGACTCATACTATCGAGTCAATGAACTCAACTTCAGATATTTATGTTACCAAAGACTCAATTTTTTAAAAACTTAAACTTGTCTTCAGACCACATTACCTGTCTTGTTTCTTACAAAAACCTCCAGCATTTTAATATCATATCACAAATGCACAAAACCAGAGTTTTTGATTTGTGAAGCTGATCATACCAAACCAAATATTTTTTTAGTGGTTCTCTTTGTCAAACGTTTGTTGTTATACGTCTTTTTATTGGTTCTAAACTTCTAACTAATGATAGTGTTGTTAAACCAACGTATGATACGCCATGAATAGGGCCAAACATTAACAAGAAAGGATCAGTAGAAAGGAAAGTTTTATTACAAGAAAACGAGGTTTCTTTTGATCAGTAACCCCTTCCTCAAGCAACAGTATGGTCGGACTAAATTTTCATTTTTCTTTACTTTTTTTTTCAATTTAATTTATTCCCATACCCATCTCGTAAAATTTCGAACCAAAAACACTAATAACTCAAATTCGAACCGGACCAGACAACCAAGTTGTGAAGTTGATGCGAAAGGCCAAAATGTGGTCTTTTACCCCTGATATTATTTGAATTATCTCCTGATATCAAAGAACTCAGCCCATAATTTCAAAGGTTTTATGAATGCTAAAACATTAGGATCAAACACGCAGCAAAAAAAGAACAGGAAGAAAAAATGCCTAATAATACTGTTTCTAGAAAATAATCACAAATTAAGAACAGGGTTCATCTAAATGTACATACATGATTCTTCTAAAAATTATATATTTGACATAGAAAAGGAACCCATAGTAATAATATGAGAAAAACACATAGGTAATTAAACACGCCTTGTTTCATTCACTATGAGAACAGCCAAAAATCTAGGAACCAGAATCCATTTTTTGGTTCCTTTTTCCTTTTTCCTACTACCACACAGAACCCGCTTTTCATTCAGCAGATTTCGATCTTGAAGACTATCTAAATACACGCATTTGTAAATATTTGTAACTAACCAGTGATGATTGATATTGGTTGTTGAAGAGGGGAAGTTTTGTCTTCTGTCTTTTCTTTTTTTTCTTTGTTTTAAGTTAGCCGTAGAGCCATTTCTTGAAGCAGAGCACGTTTCTGAGAAGCGTTTATCACTTGATTAGTTTCTGCATTCTCTAGAACATCTGTGATTATAGCGGCTGCGTGACCCAGTGGCTCCTCCGCGGCTCTCTTTAGCATGAAAGCCTGTTGCAAATGAAGGTAAGTGAAAAAGCAAAATACAGTTTAACAAAAATTGGTTCGAGCTTTTAGAGGAGTTAAGAAACAACAAAAGACCACAAACTTTTACAATCTAGTGCAACTTTTTGTCAGTAGAAAACTCTATTTGAATCTAGAATCTTATTTAGTGAAATGGAGTAAAGAACCTGGCCATGGTGTGATATGGTTAAGGTACATGGTTGCTGATTCCAAGGTTCTCCATCAATTTGCACTGGTAAAGGCGCACAAAGTTGTATCTTGACTGCTGACCCTTGAGCTAGCCTTCTCGCACGAGACAACCCGACCTGAAGATGTTAAAACAAAAAAAAATCAATGATGTTAGTTTTCCAGTCACCAGTCAAATGTTTATAAATAAGATAGAATGCAAATATAACCTGAAGTTTCCCAAGGTGCCATGTCCCAGATATACTCACGACTTCAACTATCTTGTCGTGCATCGATTGCGGATCAAAGTTTTCATATGTTTCATCTTCATTCTGCCATAAATCCACCCCTCCCATGTAACTTCCAATGTTTGCAACAAGTATTCCTTCCGCATCCTTCAGAGATTTAGCATAGAGAAGTTAGAGCATTAATTATCATGCAGGTTTATCTGTAAGGTATCTGTGACTCACCTCAGGAACCTCGATGTCAACACCATCCACCTCAACTCGAACTTGCCAAGGGAAATCTTCGAATGTTCTGTCCATTATACTCCTTGCACCTTCTCTGGCATAGAGGACTTTGTTCATAAACTGCACATGGAGACCATTCAAATATCAGTTTCATGGACTAGGGATTAACAATACAGCGTCTCTACAATATATACCAGTTATATCATGATTATGAAATATAGAAATACAGTTTCCCTGAGATTATATCAAAATTTCATCAATTCATGTTTATTTGGTTACCTGGCTATAAAATCTCTCTGGATTCTCCTCTCGTAGATTGTGAATCTCAAGGGCAACCTTCGCATCACACCCAACCCCTGTTAAGATTAGCAAAGTTAGCGACAATTTATATGCTATGGGTGTCAAGATAGAAGTCATATCATTTACAAGGACAATATACACAACAGGAATGGTTCAAACAAGCCTTCATGAATTTTTTAAAGAGAGATAAGTACTCTGTTTAAAATGATAGATTCTTCATTTATTTGAAGGATAATATAATCATTCTACAATGTTAATTATTCAGATTTCAAATGTAAAGTGCTGTATTAACTGCAAATAATTTTAACCCAGAGGTAAGTCCTCATAAGAGTATTATCTGCGGGACAAAAGTTGCAAACAGAACTAAAGGACTCTGGACTGACATCAGATAGGTTGAATACAAATGAAACAGCCCACTACTTCGAAGGTTAGCAACCTCACAAATAATTGAAATAATATCGAAACCCAAAGCTTTGAAGGTTTTTTCACCTATCGGTTTTGAATTTGACTGACCTATATAATTGTTCATATATTTTGGCGGCTGGAGTTGCTTTCCTTGTTGATTCAGAATCGATACTTTCCAACGATCAAGGACAGTGACTGCAGCGTGCTCTATATTCTGTAACACTGTAGACAATCCTCCTTGTCTCTCAACAGAACCCAAACCACCACCCCAATTTAATACTCGGGATAGATCATTCCCGGTTCCAGCAGGAAGGATAGCAACTGCAGGAGGAGAGACGAAATTCTGTTTCTCTATGGCATCTAATACCCAACCAGCAGTGCCATCTCCACCACAAACAAGAACTCTAAAATGAGGAACCTTCCTGAAGAGGAAAAGTCCCACTTCTGGTCCCTGCACTGAACTCAATTCACATACCTGCAAGAAACGGCTCCATCAATAAACTTAAAGACCAGAGATTAAGAAAATGCATTATAAATGTCCACAGATGTGACAAGATTTCAAGGTAGCATACTCTACCTGCACGGGATTCAGAAGAAGATGAAGGCGCTGACGAAGGGAATCACCACGTTGAGCACCACTCTTTTTGTTAATAAAAACCAACAACGGTCTTGCATCTGAAGGTAAATCAGCTAGTTCATACTTAAGTTTCGACCTTAGTGCATGATATTCCTTCTGACCAAAAGACCCGCTTCTTTTAACACTGGACTTCTTTTCCAGCTTGCCATTGCTGTCACTGTCCCCGTGAGAAGAATCCCCATTCATAACGCTGATAGAATTTTCCAGCCCGGCATGGGAGCCATTAACAGTTGGACCTGTATCAGCTGTGCTTTCTGTGGATTCATCGCAATTGCTACCACTATTACCTGTGTCAGCTGAAGTTTCATTAGCTTGCTTGTATTTTTTACTTTGACTCCTGATACTGGCAAGGGCGGTTGATGCAAGTTCGTTAGCACCATGCGTGATTGAGCTCAGAAATCCTCCAGAGGGATTCCGTGTCAATTCCTTAACGTAGAGAGGGCACAAGATTAACCTTCTAAGAGGGCCTAAATCACAAATGTCACCAGTTTCATTTGACATGTTACTGTGACAGTCAACATGCACAAGACGTTGACACCACAAGCAGCACCATATAGGAGAACCCCCAAGAAAGGAGCTACTACATGACTCGTCACAGTAGCTGCAAAACGAGGAGTCATCAGGCTGATCAGCCCCTTCTGTCCACCGCACTGCCCACTGGTGCACCACATGCTCGTATCCAACCATGGAGACACATTTGCAATCTTTAGGCGCACTCGAAGAACAGTTAAAATGTGCTGCTGCTCCACAGATTGTGCACCTGTGGAAAAAACTTTCTGAAGCTACAATTGCCTGAGATGGCGACATCGACTTCAAGCAAACACAACAGTTCAAGTTTTTTGCACGAGCTATAGGGTCGAGTTCCCAGCTATGTGGGGCAACAGGAACCTTATGTCGTGCCTTTGGATTTTTCTTTGACCTGGCTATGGCTTTCGTCCAACTTAAGTTAATATTTCTTCGCCATTGAAAAGCGGTGTAGGCTATGGTCAATATACCAACAAGGGCAGCAACAAAACAAGAGAACATTAAACCACGAGATTCAACCGTGTCAATAGGATACTTGCTGGTCCAGCTAGGAAAGAACATCCCCAATTCTCCATCGTCATCCATTTATCTATGTTACAACTCTACTACAAGTGTGAAAATCCCTGAAATTCGAGCCAAACAGAAGTCCCAAAAGATTCTTGTATTGGTCAGGTCCACACACAGGTCATCAAAACTTCTTCTTCAAACTCCATATCCTCATCATCCATCAAACCCGTATATGCTCAGACGCAGAAGACAACAATCACACTTCAACTATAGAAGACAAACTCTTCTACCCTGTCCAGCAAAACAAAAAAGTACATGTCAATATGTTATCCAACTATATATCACGTTAGAAACAATCGTTTTCAACTTTTCATAATAAAATTGCATCACAAATTACTAAGGCCCTGAACAATGTAAACAGAAACCAAAATTAATGACTCAAACTTTATCAATTGTATTTGACTCAGATTCAGACTTCAATCGTAATCATGCTTGGACAACACCTCCTCAAAATCAATATGGAACCTTGCTCAAGTTCCTATGTTTGACACATATCGATGAAACATACTCGGCTCATTGTCCCACAATACTATAAGACGCAAAACAAAACCTTTAAGCTTGGACTTAAAAACAAAACCTTTTTAAAAAAACTCAGCTCAAGTGAAAAACAAACTCAAGACCACAAAATTCCAAAATCTCCTAATTAAACAAGGGCATAAACTGCATCTTTCTCTCTCTGCCCACGAAAATCCAATGTACAGGAGAGATGCATAAACAAAAAAAAAAAAAAAAAAAAAACCCTAACCTCCAGAAGCGAGAGAAGAAGAAGAGATGATCAAATCAGAAGCCTAGAGAGATCGAGAAAGCGAAAGAAGAAGAGAAAACCCACAATCGATGCACCAAGCACGAAGCTTTTCTACTCCGACGAAAATTCCCAAATCCAAATTTTTGTCCTTTTGAAAAAGCAGAGATGCTATTCAGT